CCTGCTGAATACAAATATTCACTCTTGAGTCAATAACCAGGGCACAAATTCGAGGTATGAAACTTTCCACTACTTGCCTTTTACCTGAATAAAAGTAAATTATTGACAAATGGGTATTTTAAACTCTTTTCAATGACAATCTTATATGTGTTAATGGAAATCAGACATACTAATTCAGTTCAGAAGAAGGCCCATGGACTGGCCTGGGGACCAGGAAGCATGAAATTCAGTCCTGGTTCTGCCGTTAACTAGCTATGTAACTTCGAAAAAACACCCTTCAAACAGATGTGACTGATTTTAACTCTGGCAAAGGAATAACCCCAGATCCAGCTTCTCCTCTGAGTCACTTAAAGCAGCATTACTTTTTTGGATAAATAAATACAGTCCAAAACTGGAAACGTCTAATTTGAGGTTTTTATGAAACTGGCCTCAGTAATTTATAGTCATACCTCCAAAATTCCATAACGGCCATTAACAAGATCTAAATATCTTGACCTATTTCTAAAATTTGACACTATTCTCTCAAAAGACAAGGCTTTATTAATACTAAGTATATTAAGAGGAATTTGTTTCATGCTAATTCATGATGCAGAGTTCTAAAATAATTTTAAATAATGGCAATGCTGCAACAGAAAATGCACTTTACAAAGTGACTACGTTAAAAGAAAAAAAATCACTGAATTACTTGAAAAGATAACGTGATTTACTTAAAAAAAACCAGTTGGATCACTTCATAATCACTGGTGCTTTAGGACTGTTTTCTGGCTTAAAAACTTAAGAATTTAGACTAGATTGTTATGTTAATTGCAAAGAAACCAATGAAAAGGTAGCATTAACTACTACTGAAATAAACAGCAATTGATATTTTTAAACGTTTTGGCAGCAATTAGCTGTTCCTTTATTTATAAACAATTCACCGGCCCCAATTACCAATCCTAGGTAATTCTTCCTCAACCAACACAGAGATAAAATAACTTGAGTTTATTGTTTGACATAAGGCACTGCCAAGCACAAGTGAAATGATGAGTTGTAACATGTTCTATACTCTCCGTGTACTACTGAAAATTTTGTTTCATTACATCAAGGACAAACTATAGCCCACAAACCAAATCCAACTCACTGTCCCTTTTTGTATGGCTGTATTCATCAGCAGGTACTCTGTGGAAATATGTGAATCTATCATGATTTACTGAACCAGCAGTCTCAGGTGAATTTCATTCATTCTTATGAACTCAGCCATCATTAGCCACCACTAAATGAATGGCTTTGGTAATTAGCTTGGGCTGCAGAGTTGATAGTGTTTCTTAATGAGTTCAACACCAAAGTCCAAGGCAAAATTAGTGCATATATGAGAAACTTATACTTCAGTAAAGTTATTTCAATGAAACAAAGGTCATCTGAATCACAAGTAATGTCCAGCTGCTTTATACATCTCCTAGGCTGTCAAAAGCTGAGACAAGAAATGACATCTCCATTTCCAACAACAAATTTATAGGGGATATATTTTTTCCATGCTCCAACTAGATCCAGCAGCGTTTCTGGACGTTGATGCAGGTGCAAAGGAAATTTCCCTATTTCAAAATTCATTTTAACTCTGTAACTGAGGAGCTTCCACCTAACCTTCAACTGAAAGTGATTAATCTGCAATGCAGTGGCATTCTAAAAAAGCAAATATTAAGAAAAAAGTCTAATATAATTCTATAAATGCTTTCCAAGTGATGAATATGCTCAATTAAAAATCATGCTCATGAACTGATATCAGTATTTGGCATTATCTGCATGAAAAGACGTTTTCTAATGTAATATACACAAAATTTCACTACAGATAAGCATGAACAAATGAATATTTGCAATTAATTTTTATAACAGCAAACACTAACTCTGAACCTTAAGAGAAACGTCATCTTCTCAAAAAAGAGTGCTATTCTCCTCATTAGTAGACCTGTATTAGAAAAACACTGTACTCAATTATTGTTATATTTTGAGTTGCATCAATAAAACATTTGTGGAAATTTGTTTTCTTTCTTTTTAAGTAAGTACCTACATAATACCATCAATTTTTTTCTTGGCCCACAAAGCCTAAAATATTTACTATCTGACCATTTACAGAAAAAATTTGTCGATCCCTGAATTAGGTAATGAATTCCTAATATTAGGACAATACTACAAGAATTGCAAAATTATACCAAAACTCTAACAGCAAGTTATTGTTCCAGTAGAAATAAAATGTTTATTATACCTTCATCATCGATGTCATGTATGACCTGAAAGTGAATAATATTTAAAACTTACTATCTTATATTATAAACCATTACAAATAGTATTAAAATAAGAGGTTACATATGAACTCACCACATACTTATTTAACTTTTATGTATTAACTAATTAACCAGGATAAATGCACTAAGCAACATGTTAGTGACTTTTAGTCTCAGGGCATATAGAACACAAATTGTTTTTAAATAAACACATGCTTTATAACATCAGTGAATCAATATGACTGTTACCATCAAAAGATCAAATAAGTCTTCTATCATATTTATAACAGCTTCATCTTTTGAATTTCCTTGACTCAGAATAATCTCCTTGGATTTTTCAAACCAGGTAACCATGTATAAAAAGAAATGTAAATACATTAGTTACTTTGAATTCAATTTTAATAATTTTAAGAATGTACTCATACAAACAGTAAACCTAAGAATAAAGAAACATTAAAAATAAAAATTCCAGTATTGTATCAAAATAAGTTTATGCTCTTAAACACCATCATTGTTTTTGCTTTATAGTAACTCACTATATGTTCCCATTTTTTAGATGGGAATGGATGAAGTTAATCCAATTCCAAGTAGAAAATCTTTACTTCCCCCTGCTTCAAATTCTTAGTTCATGTACATTCATATTCATGGATAAAGAATAAATTATCATTACACATTAGATTATTGTGGCATTTTTACTATCTGAAATATTTTGGTATTATTTTATTAACTCAGTCATTTGAGTACACACTATGTCTTAGGCTCTGTTCTTGGTGCTGAGTATACAACAATGAACAAAACAGACAAAAATCAATATCCTACATTCTAAAATGGGAAATAGATAATAATAAACGATATAAAAAGAAAAGTAAATTAAGTTAGATAGTGATTAAGATGAGCTAAAGAGAAAATAAAGCAAGTAAAGGCCTTAGGGAGTCTTTTGACCTTAAATTCACACAATTATCAAGGACCCTGTATACAGTTCCCTTGTGATCTTTATTTTTCTAACATATACCACAGGTTATAAAAATATTTTATCTCAAACTTTTACATACAGTTCCCAAATTTATTTTCCAACAGTTTGAACCATTTAATTAGAAAACACACCTTTAATCATATTTCCCTCAAAGAAATATGTTACATATTCTATACTCATCTTTTGTACTAGTCCTTGTTTTATCATAGTTAGAAGTCCAGCTTGCCCCAATATACTGATATTTTTGCCACATCTTCCAAAAGAAACCAAAATGGTTGAAACGGTTTGGATATCCTTTTTATTCAGCTCCTGAAATGCAAATTATACATTTAAACATCTGTAAATACAAAATAGAATGGAATTGGCATTGTGCTAGGAGTGTTATAATCCTCACAAATCCTGAGTGTTAGTCATTATGATAATCATAATCTCCATGTTGCAAAGGACAAAAGTGTGGTTTAAAAAAGGCAGCCTGCTTACAAGCACTCAGCCAGTGAATGACAAACAGTACAAAAATGCAGACATGTATAACTCAAGAAACTTTAGACTTATGATGCAATGAATCAGTTACCTTCCATTCTAAAAAGCTTTAAGTATTTAACTAAGGGATACAAGAATTTTTTTTTTTTTTTTTTTGCAGTACG